AGGCTACTAAGCCTAGGCCCTAGATTAATCTACACTTTAACTCTCGTTCTCAATCTCGACATGTTATCGGAGCTGAGTTCGTCCTTGCCTGTGGGCCCGCTTTACACTTCCGCTGCTAAGATTTTCCGGTCGCGCGCCTAGGGCGCGTGACGATTTTATTTTTACCTTGTCCCGCCCACGGGCGTGTGACTCCTTCCCTGCCCGTCGCGCGCCCCGTGGCACGTGACGGTGCCCTTCAACTGCCCATCGTGCGCCCCGTGGCACACGATGGTGCCCTGCTCGTCGTGTGCCCCGAGGCACACGATCGGGCCCTTTTATTCTACCCGTCGTGCGCCCCGTGGCACTGGCCCGCGACGGGCCTTCTTTCCGCCCCTGCACTCCCTGAAGCCGCCCCTGACCCATCTGCACCGACACCTCTTCGCCGCTCTGCGGCTTTCTTCCTGCCCACCCCCCTCCTCCTTTGCCTCCGTGCAGCCGTGGGGAGGAGGGTATGGGGGTGGAGGGTGTTGGAGTGTGGCGTCACCTCTCTCCCTTCCCGTCCTCCTTCTTTCAGTCCCACCGCTGCAGCTGCCGCTGGGGGAGGAGGGTGTGAGGATGTGGGGGAGCAGGGGGAGTGGTACCGGGGTGGCGGGTGTGAGGCAACAAGCAGCCGTCCCTCCACCTCTCCTCTCTTCCCCCCTTTCTCCGCTGCTTCTGCAACAGTGTGGGGGAGGGGAAGGGGGAGGGTGAGGAGATGGAGGGGGTAACCATTCAAAGTTAGCCCGCCTGCAGTACCTGCTGTTGCTTGTTTTATTGTTCGTTGGTGTACCTCTGCAGGTTGTGCTCTGCACTTAGCTATTCCTGCATGCAGTTACGGGGGGATGTCAAAATTATATTTATTATAACTGCATGTAGTTCTAGCAGTAGTGTAGTTATTAAATTTGTAGGTGGTGCACCTCTTCATGTGTTCCTTTGCTATATGTACTTCGAACCCTATAGTGAACACACATTTCTCCCAACTTTTCTCAACTCACTCGATACTCTCCCCTAGGAGCAACCCGCTCGACATTCAAGTAGGGCCTAGGCTACTAAGCCTAGGCCCTAGATTAATCTACACTTTAACTCTCGTTCTCAATCTCGACATGTTGATGTTGTGCAGAAGGACGAGATGTCTGATGCTGAGGCTGAGAATATCGAGCGTCTTGTCGGCTGACCCAGTTGTTGTGGTGAGTGGAATCTGGGTGGCGATAGTTGGATCGGGATTTGCATCGATCCGTTGAGTGTCCGAGGATTTTGCATATTTTGCAGTAATTTCGCCTTGGTTGTCGTTGCTCTTCACGGCTGTCTGCGTAGAAGGCGAGGCGCTCTCGGCGCGGCGCGGAGCTTGTTCTGCTCGAGTCCATGTCCTGCTGTTCAGTCAGGAGTGCGGCGCATAGCGCGGATTCTGAGATAATCCCTCGCTGTCGGAGTAGCGCTTTACAGGGCTTCCACTCTGGCCCGAGTCCTTGAAGGACTATGTTGAGGAAGATCTCTTATGAGATTGCGCTCCCATGCTTCGTGATCTGGTCACGGATATTGCGACAGCGGTTAATGTAAGAATTCGCTTTCTCCCCGTGCCCCATCTTTGTCTCCATGAGTTGCTGCAGGAGCTTGCTGGCGGTAACCGAATCCTTCCGCTGATAAACCTCAACGAGGTGCTTCCAGGCTTCCAAGGCTGGAGCAGCATTCTCTTTGTAGGAGCGAATGCTAAGTTGTTCCGCAGGCGTCATATTTCACAGCAGCACGCTATACGCCATGAGGGACTCGCTGTAGTACTGAGCCCTGGCGTCGTTGGTGTCGTCCATCGGTTTAGGATAGGAGCCGTCGAAGTAATCGTAGATCTGCGTTGTCTGTAGGAGGAGCTCGAGCTCAAAACTCCATGTGTAGAAATCATTGCCGTCAAATGCGGCAGCATTCTTGATCTTTGAAACGCTGAGAAAGCGTGCTTGCGTAGAGTTGATAACTTCATCACTTGGACGGGGGGCAGTTGTTGTTGATTTGTCCGTGTCGAGGGAGAAGGTGTGCGCGGTGGTATCACGGCTTTTCGTCGCCGGTTGTCCAGGTTGAGCTGGTTGGGAAGAGGTTCCCGCATCGCCTTTGCGCAAATCTTGGAGTTCTTTCTCCATAGTTGAAAGTCGAGCGAGTAACTGCTCGAGTGCGGCAGTGCCGATCGTGGTTGTTGCCTCATTTGTCGCAGCCGGGTTAGTTTGCCCTTCGGCCGTCAGATTTGCTTGGCCTCCGAATCCTCCGGCCATCTTGGTCTTGGAGCGTGTGCCGCTCGCCAGATCTTGGTTCGGCGAATTTCACGGAAGTGAGGATGCAAAGAACCCCTGAGTAGCTCTTGTACCATGTTACAATCCCAAGTGGGACTTAGCAAAGGATCGCTCACGGTTGATCGCAGAGTAGTGTTGCAGCGGAAGTTTGAATCTCAGGTAAGAGTGAATGTAAATGACTGAGTTTTTTTTATAAAAAAACATGCATATATCGGGTTTATATAAGAATAAAGGGGAATAAGTAAAGACCTAGACTAGCCATGTACTCTAAGGAATACATTCCCTTATTACAGCGAATTTCAAACCGTGCGGCGCGGGAACCCGTTTCAAACCTGTTCCCGCTCTTTTCACTTCAAATGTTTCTGCCTGCATCGGTCTTGGTCAGATGGTTGTGTCAGAATCTACTATCAGGAATGAATGAACTAGGAAAGAGTTGTGTTAAAGTATGAAAACCCTAAAGGGGCTGTACCCCATATTGGCTACCCCACTACAGCCTAAACATATATAGCATATATAATTTGACACACCCCCATAGGCAAAGTGGGGAGAGGAAGGGGTCACAAGACCAGTCAAGAGAAGCAAAGCAAGCTCAGGGAGGATCACAACATCACCACACACTGAGCACAAGCAAAGTGCCACAAGGCCAGTTCACATGCAAAGGTATACATGCAACAACAACACCACAGTGATCTCTACCTAGCATAGCAAACATGTAGGTATATATATAGATCATAGTACAAGCAAAGCCTACAGCAAGTAAGGAAACGTAGGCACAAGGCCTAAAAAGGTACAAAAGCGCAGATGATCACAAGAGGGAAGTGCCTTGGTGAATATATCAACAGTGTTGGCCTGAGTGGCCACGTGAGCAAGACCACGCTGACCACGCTGCTGCAACTCTCGAGCAAGGAAGTACGCAGAGCGATGTGCTTCGTTCTGTGCTCCAGTCTGTGCTCCTAACACAAGGCAATGGCTCCCTTGTTGTCTACGTAAAGAACTGGAGGAGAACGAGGCCGCTCTCCCAGGTCGATCAGCAGGTAGGTGAGCCAGCGTAACTCCTGTGCAGCCATGGCTGTGGCGTTGATCTCAGCCTCACAACTAGAGCTGAGAACAGAGGAGGAGCGTGTAGACCGCCAAGAAACAGAGCCGGAGCCAAGGCTGAACGAGTAACCCTGTGACGACCGCTGCGTGGCTAGGTCATCAACCCAAGAAGCGTCTGAGTGCCCAGTGAGGACAAGTGGGCTCCGCCCTCCAAGCACGAGCCCCATGCCCGATGTACTGCACAAGTAGAGCAGTACCCTCTTAGCAGCATCCATGTGCACCTTTCGGTGCCTACCAGGAGCCACGTAGCAAGACAGAAGGCCAAGAGGGTACGCAAGGTCAGGTCGAGTGCAGGTTATCAGGTACATGAGGCAGCCCACTAGCTCTGGGTATGGGCCACTCGGCTCTACGGACTCGCCCGAAGGTGGAGCTGAGAGCGAGTGGCCTGTAGCCAGAAGAGCGTGCTGTTGCAAGGACCAGGTGAAGCCGAAGTGCTGAAGGACCTGCTGCACCATGTGTGACTGCGTCAGTGTGATGGTGCGACGTGCTCTGTCCCGGGTGATCTGCAAGCCAAGGTAGCTGCGCAGCTCACCCAGGTCTGTACACGTGTCTCTTCTGCAGTTCCGACTTCACCAGGGTGAGAGCCTCAGTGTCAGCAGTGGCAAAGACCAAGTCGTCGACGTACACGAGGATGTAGAACGGCGGCAGCGAAGTGTCGGTGCGCAGAAACATCGATGGGTTAGCAGTGGAAGGCGCGTACCCAAGAGCCGCAAGCATTGTCCTCAGTATCTCGTGCCACTCACGAGGCGCCTGGCGGAGACCGTAGACTGGCCGACAAAAACTCCACTAAATACCAGGAGGGAATGACCCACTGAAGCCAGGTGAGCGGCGCAGCCAGATCTCCTCGTGCAGACTGCCCTGTACGAAGGCCGTGCTGAAGTCCAGAGAGTGAAGCTCGTAGTCACGCTGAGCGGCGACTTGCAGCTGCACCCGAAGAGTGGTCATCTTCGGGGTGGGGGAGAAGGTATGGAAGAAGTCAACTCCTTGTCGCTGTCTGAATCCTCGAGCAACGTAACGAGCCTTGAAGACAGGCGAAGAACCTGGCGGCCGCTTCACCCTGAAAATCCACATGCCATCAACGATGTTCGCCCGAGGAGGGGGAACCTCATCGACGTGATTGCCTGTGGACTTCCAGGATGCCATCTCTGCGTCCATGGCTGTCTGCCACTGAGAGGAGTAGGGACCCGCGATCGCCTTAGCGTAAGATCGCGGAGTCGGGATGTCTGGTGCATCCGGGTCTCCCTTAGGAGCAAGCAGCATGGGCACGAGATGAGGTACAGCAGCTGCAAGACACTCAAGGTCCTCCTAACTGTCCTCCCCTCAACTCCTACCCCCTCAACCTGATCGTGAATGCAGATCAGACATCCCTGTTCCTTGAGATGCCTGCCGAGCGCACCCTCAAGATGAAAGGCGCTCGGACCGTGCACATGCGCACCGCGGGGTACGAGAAGCAGTGTGTCACGGTCATGCTGGTCGTGACCGCAGGCGGCTTGAAGCTCCCTTCGTGTGTAGTCTTCAAGCGGAAGACCTTGCCAAAGATCCCCATACCCCGTGGTGAGTTGTGACTTACCGAATGTTTTGTCAGGATGTGGTGAAGAAAAGCAACCGCTCATGTTACTTTTTTGTTGTGCAGGCATTGTCGTGCGAGCCCTAGGAAAAGGGCTGGATGGACAAGAACCTTGTCCAAGACTGGACAACGAAGGTTCTCGTCCCCTTCCTGAAGCCGCACCGCGAAGAGGAAGAGCAGCGCAAGGATGCGCTCCTCATCCTCGACTCCTACCGAGGGCATACCACGGAAGCAGTCGGCCAGACAATGAAGCCGTTCAAGCTCACGCTTGCGGTGATCCCTGGCGGTTGCACCTCGCTGGTGCAACCCCTGGACGTTTCTGTGAATCGCAGCTTCAAAGCCGGGGTTCGCCACCGCTACTCCACATGGTTCCAGGATGAGGGGATTGATTCTTTCACCCCTGCAGGTGAGCATGAGAGTTGTACCGGTTTCAATGTGTGCCTTGACCGTGTGGTGACTCACGTCTACCCCTACCCGTGAGATTTCTCGCAGGGAATTTGAAGAAACCTCCCCCAGAGAAGGTTCTCTGCTAGATTGAGGAGGCATGGGCTGAAGTGCCGGAAGAACTGATCATGAAATCCTTCGTGACCTGCGGCATCTCCACCGCCGTCGACGGGAGCGAGGAACATCTGATCCTCGCTCACCTCCGCGATAAGGCGGAGGTGGAGGTGCTGGAGGATGTGTGCGAGGAGGAGCTCGACGAGCTCGTCCCCAACCCTTTCTACCCTGATCCTGCCGCCCCTGCGAGCAAGAACAGCGATGGAGCCTCCTCTCCATCTGAGGAGGAGGAGGAGGAGGAGGAGGAGGAGGAGGAGGAGGAGGAGGAGGAGAAGGAGGAGGAGGAGGAGGAGGAGGAGGAGGAGGAGGAGGAGGAGGAGGAGGAGGAGGAGGAGGGGACGGAGGAGGAGGAGGAGGAGGAGGAGGAGGAGGAGGAGGAGGAGGAGGAGGAGGAGGAGGAGGAGGAGGAGGAGGAGGAGGATGAGGAGGGCGAGGAGGAAGGCGGTGCGGAGGTGGAGGGTGGAGCGGGATGGGAGGATCCAGGCCATGAGTGGTGGGCAGAAAGGCGATATGATGGGGAGGAGGTGGAGATTTGGGTTGCGGGACAGGATTAGGATGGTAATGTGGGTGTGCATGTGCGTTCATCGGTGCAATTTCTCTTAGTCAACATGAAACATGACCATTTTCAATTGCATTCTTGTAAAATCCGCACCCGAAAGCGCGGAGGGTAGCGAAAGCGAAGCGAGGGAAAGGCTCACCTTGCGAAGTCCGACGCTCTCCCGTCTTCCATGCGGCTATAAAAGAGACTGCTATGGGTCTCGCGCTCCCATTTCAGCACTTTGCTCCAATTTGCTCAATTCTCTATAGTGCGGCCGCCAGTGCAGACCTAGCAGCTAGCTAAACACCTTTCGCTCTTATTAGCTCCATCCATATAGTAGTCCGACCGTCTTCCATCCTCCACCCAGCGACGGTACTATTCCCAAAAGCTCGACTTCCAAAATCGAGCATCGTGCGGCTCCCTGCAGCCATCATGGCACAGGCGACGCCACTATCGCGCTCGCCGGCCCTCCACGTTTCGCTACTCGCCGTCGTCATCGCCGTTGGTGAGCCCACCGCTCCCATGCGCCGCTTCGCGCCCCCTTTGCCATATCGCCTCCGCGCACCCGTCGCGTGATCGATCCGCGGCGAATGTATCGCGCGTGTGTCGCCAAGGTAAACATTGAGTGTATTCGCCGTGCGCGCACCCACTCACGGACCTGCCCACGTCGCGCTTCCATTCCACGCGCGGCTGTCCTTCCGCGTGAAACTCCCAGGCGGGCCCGCCTTCCGCGCAGCCAATTACCTCATCGTGGTGACCTTTTCCCCCCACGCTTTGCTGTACACTCCCGTCGTTTGCGTGTGCAGCGCTGCTCTCACTCACCCTCTGCGCCACACCCGTCGGCAAGCGCCGCTTGCTGCGGGAGGGGACCGGCAGCATTGTGACTGTAACGACGACGACTACCACGAGCATCACCAAGAGCACCACTGTGAGCAACAGCACCACGTACGGCCCTGATGGCTCCGTTATAAGCACTGGGGGTGGCGTCACCACCACCACCGGCGCCGGTGGGACCACAAGCACCCCCAGCGGGGGAAGCGCGAGCGGGGGCAGCAGTGGGAGCAGCGGAGGGACGAGCATTGGAGGGAGCGCGACAGGAAACAGCACCGGGAGCAGCGGCGGGACGAGCAGCGGAGGGAGCGCGAGTGGGGACAGCACTGGGAGCAGCGGCGGGACGAGCAGCAGAGGGACTGCGAGTGGGGGGAGCACTGGGAGCAGCGGCGGGACGAGCAGCGGGGGGAGCGCGAGTGGAAACAGCACCGGTAGCAGCGGCGGGACGAGCAGCGGAGGGAGCGCGAGTGGGGGAAGCACTGGGAGCAGCAGCGGGACGAGCAGCGTGGGGAGCGCGAATGGAAACAGCACTGGGAGCAGCGGCGAGACGAGCAGCGGGGGGAGCGCGAGTGGGGGCAGCACTGGGAGCAGCGGAGGGTCGAGCAGCACCACTGTCATCAAGGGGCTCACCAGATGTGAGCTCAGTTGCACATGCACTCAAAATCACCAACGCCTACAGTGTAGTACCGATTTCTGAAAGCCCATTCTTCACTCCTGCTGCCTATGTTCATCCCTCCCGCTGCCTCAAAATCGCCGCTGAATCTGTTGAGTGTTTCTCTTTGCGTGCTCTGCAGACCAAGCTGCCTCGGAGCTCAACCCGTCTGGCGACACGACCGCCAAGTTCATCTTCGATACCAACATGTAAGTGCACAGTACCACCTTATATAGATGGTGGGTCGCACTCCAGCTCCTACCACACAATCAACCAACGCCGCCCACTACTCAAATTCCCCGCTGCAGCAGTTCGTACACAAAGTTTGTCGACGAAGCTGTCGCTATCAGATCTATATGACATAGTTACTGTAGGCTATAGTGGGGTAGCACATATGGGGTACAGCTTTCTAGGGTTTGTTCTTGTACCCAACTTTCCCTTAGTGATTTCATTCTCGTTCACTTTCTCATGGTATCGAGCAGGTTCCCCTGTGGGAACTGTTCCTAGGGCCCACCACCTTTTTTTTCCTGCCCTGAGCGCGCTCTACACTGCCCGAGTCGCGCTCCCCTCTCACGGCCCTGTCGAGCCGCCCTCGCAGCCCTTTCGACCCTGTCGCGTCGCGCTTGCGGCCCCGTCGCGTCGCCCTCGCGGCCCCTTCGCGTCGCGCCGCCCTCGCGGCCCCGATCCGCCGCCCTCGCGGCTCCGTCGCGTCGCGCCGCCCTTGCGGCCCTTTCACGCCGCCCTCGCGGCCCTTTCTAGCCGCCCTCGCAGCCTCTTCAAGCCGCCCTCGCGACCCCCCCCCCCCCTCCTAGCCGCCCTAGCGACCCCGTCGCCTACCCCTGCGGCCCCGGCGCCGCCCTTCCCTGCCTCGGCGCCGCCTCTGCTGGCCCCGTCGCCTACCCCTGCGGCCCCGGCGCCGCCCTTCCCTGCCTCCGCGCCGCCTCTACTGGCCCCGTCGCCTACCCCTGCGGCGCCGGAGCTGCCCTTCCCGGCCCCGGCGCCGCCTCTACTGGCCCCGACGCCGCTCCACCCGGCCCCGACGCCGCTCCACCCGGCCCCGCCGTCGCTCCGCCCGGCCCCGCCGCCGCTCCACCCGGCCCCGCCGCCGTCCCCACGCTGCCCCGCCGTCACCACCGAGCCGCCGGCGCCGCCGAGCTGCAGCCGAGCCGCCCGATCCACCCGAGCCGCCCGAGCCGCCGCGCCACCTGAGCCGTCCGAGCCGCCGAGTCGCCGAGCCGCCGAGCTGCAGTTGCTACCGAGCCGCTGTACCGCCGAGCCGCCCGAGCCGCCCGAGCCGCCGAGTCGCCGAGCCGCAATTGCTGCCTAGCCGCCGTACCGCCGAGCCGCCCGAGCCGCCCGAGCCGCCGGGTTGCCGAGCCGCCGAGCCGCCGAGCCGCCCAAGCCGCCCTGTCCGGTAAGAGCAGCGCCTCTGTCACTGCACTGCCCTTACCCTACTGTTCGCGCTGCTAGTCGACTGCTGTCATGGCTACCCCTAGTGTCCTCGCTTTTGACGCTGAGGGTCGGGCCATTGACTTTGACGTCTGGGTAGATGACCTGCAACTTTTCCTACAGTGCGATAGGGCAGACGGTCTCTCCCTCTTTGACCTCACTTCTGGTGCCTCTCCTGCCCCTGCTGCTGATGCCGACGCCACTGTTCGCTCACAGTGGGCCACACGCGATGCTGCTGCACGTCTTACTGTACGTCGCCACCTGCCTACCTCTAAGCGTGCGCACTTTAGCCAGTACAAGAGTGCTCAGACCTTGTACGACGCTGTAATTGCGCGCTACTCCTCCCCTGCCACTGCTGCACTGAGCCGCCTCATGCTACCGTACCTCTTCCCTGAACTTGCTGCCTTCCCCACAGTCGCTGACCTCATTACACACCTCCGCACTAGTGACACTCGCTACCGCGCTGCGCTTCCTGCTGACTTCTGCGCCAAGAACCCCCCCCCCCATGTACATCACCCTCTACTACATAGTCACCCGGCTCCCTGACTCTCTTCGCTTAGTCAGGGACCACTTCCTCTCAGTTTGCCCCACCACTCTCACCGTTGACCTCCTCGAGAAGGCTCTCCTAGCAGCAGAGAAGAGCATAGTAGCTGTAGAAGCCTCTCGTGGTGACCCTCGCACCCCCGTCTTTGAGAGGTGTTCCCCCTCCCCCCTTTTGCCCTCTGTTGCCTCTGCTGCTGCGGCCGACCTCGTTGGTTTCGAGTCGGTCGGCGCTGTGTCTGCCCCGAGCCGGAGATGCCGCACCGGCAAGGGCAAGGGGGGCAATGGTGCTGGAGGGGCTGGCGGGGGTGGCGGAGGTGGCGGTGGAGGAAGTGGAGGGGGTGGGGGTGGTGGTGGGAGTGGTGGCGGGGGTGGAGGTGTCGGTGGCGGCAGTGGAGGCGGAGGCGGCGGCGGCGGTGGCGGTGGGAGCGGAGGTGGCGGCGGTGGAGGAGGCGGCGGCGGAGGAGGTGGAGCTGGTCGGGGTGGCGCTGCGCAGAGGGTCGGCTCCGGTGGTGGTCAGCGCCAGCAGCAGCAGCAGCAGCAGCAGCAGCAGCAGCAGCATCAGCAGCACACTCGTGACATCCCCCCCCCTGAGCAGCTCCGTGAGTGGTACGCTGCACGCCAGCAGGGTGGGGGTAATGGTCCATGCACCTACGTCCTACGCACCGGCGACCGCGCGGGTGAGCAGTGCGGGGGTGCGCACTCCACCTAGTGTTGCTTTGGCCGCCTGACGGACGCTTGGCGTGACCAGTTCCCTGAGGCCACTGAGATCCCCCCGCTGGGGCGAGCTGTCTAGGGCGGGAGTAGCTGTCTTTGACCTTGACTTTGATGCTATTCTTGCTGGCATGTATGCTGTGACTATTAGTGATGAGGGTGACTGTTACCGGTGTTATCCGCCCGACCCGGGCATTGAGACTGCTGCTCTAGGTACTGGTGATGCCGCTGCTCTAGGTGCTAGCGAGGCTGCTGCTCTAGGTGCTCGTGCGTCTGCTCCCTCAGGTGCTGGTGAGTCTGCTCTCCCAGGTACTGCGTCGGCTTCGGCCTCCCACACCTTCACCCTTGACTCGGGGGCTTCTCGCTCCTTCTTTCGAGACCGCACCACACTCACGCCGCTTGGTCGGCCAGTTGCAGTCTCTCTGGCAGACCCCTCTGGGGGTCCTGTCCTTGCTCACTTCTCCACTGTCCTCCCGTGTCCGGCGGCCCCCTCTGGCACCCTGTCTGGTCTTTACCTCCCCTCGTTCTCTACGAACTTGGTGAGTGGTGCTGACCTACAAGATGCGGGGGTTCACCAGTTCACTCCTGCGAGTCAGCGGGTGACCCACTGCATGGACGCTCGGACAGGCCGACACCTGGCCACGTTTACACGTCGAGCCTGTACACACTGACCACTACGTCTCCTCTAGTCACTGCGTTTGGTCAGGTAGCTGCGTCGGGTCAGGTGTTTGCTGCGGCGTCCAGGTCTGGTCCTGAGTCTGCCCGCTGCTCGTGTCGCCTCCTGTCTCACGAGACTCTCCTCTGGCACCACCGTCTTGATCACCCATCCCTGCTTCGTCTCCGAGGCATGGCCTCCCGTGTCCTTGTCTCTGGTCTTCCCCGGTCCCTCCCTCCCCTTCCTCCGGGGCCTGGCCCTACCTGCGTCCCCTGTGTCGAGGGGCGCCAGCGGGCTGCCCCTCACTCCTCCCAGTTTCCTCCGACAGAGGCCCCACTGCAGACGCTTCACATGGACGTGTGGGGCCCGGCCCGCGTCCGTGGACAGGGTCACGAGCGCTACCTTCCTGCTGGTGGTTGACGACTACTCGCGTTACACCACAGTCTTCCCCTTGCGCAGCAAGGGTGATGTCACTGAGGTGTTGATCGACTGGATCCGCGCAGCTCGTCTCTAGCTCAGGCAGAGCTTCGGCTCGGACTTTCCTGTTCTGCGTCTGCACTCTGACAGAGGTGGAGAGTTCTCCTCTGGCCTTCTGCGAGCCTACTGTCATGCAAGAGGCATCCGCTAGACCTTCACGCTTCCGGACTCTCCACAGCAAAATGGGATTGCTGAGCGCCGCATTGGCATGGTCATGGACGTTGCCCGTACGTCCATGATGCATGCGGCTGCCCCCCATTTTTTGTGGCCGTTTGCGGTTCGGTACGCGGCGCATCAGATCAACCTTCACCCCAGGGTCTCCATGCCGGAGACCTCCCCAACTTTGCTGTGGACGGGGAAGGTTGGCGATGCGTCTGCGTTCCGTGTCTGGGGATCTTGGGCGTTTGTCCGCGACTTGTCTGCGGACAAGCTGTCCCCTCGTGCTGCTCCTTGCGTCTTCCTTGGCTTCCCACCTGACGCGCCAGGGTGGCAGTTCTACCACCCCACCTCTCGCCGTGTTCTGTCCTCCCAGGACGTCACGTTTGACGAGTCGGTCCCCTACTACCGCCTCTTCCCCTACCGCACTCCGTCCCTCCCCCCGCCACCGCTCTTCCTTGTGCCAGGTCCCCCACCGGTAGACCCCCTCCCCCCTCAGGGTCCTGCCCCTTCAGGTGTGTCCCAGGTAGACGCAGTCGAGCCTGTCGAGGTTACTGGTGACTCTGGTGCTGCTGAGGGTGCTGAGCCTGGGGGTGCTAACTCTGGGGGTGCTGAGCGTGTGGGTGCTATGCCTGAAGGTGCTGAGCCTGAGGGTGCTACTAATAGGGGTGCTGAGCCTGGGGGTGCTACCACTGAGGGTGCTGAGCCTGGGGATGCTACGCCTGGGGGTGATACCTCTGGCGGTGCTGGGCCTGGAGGTTCTCCGGGTGCTTCGTCTCGGCGGGAGCCACTCTCTCCACAGGAGCTGCGCGAGTGGTTTGCCCGGCGCTGGAGGCGTGCTGCTGGAGCTGGAGGTTCTTCGGCTGCTGAGGGTGCTGGTGCCGCGGGTCCCGGAGGTGCTCGTACTGGGAGTACTAGAGCTGCAGGGCTTGCGGGTACGACTGGAGCTAGAGCTGCTAAGGGTGTTGGCGCTGAGGCTACTGCTGTCGGTCCTGGAGGAGGACCTACTGGGGGTGCTACTGGTGCTGCTGGAGGTACTGGAGCTGGAGGTGCTGCTGGCGCTGGTGCTGCCGCTGGGGGTACTGGTGCTGTCCCTGTTGTGTCTAGAGTCGCCGCGCGGCCTCGGCCGTACTTCGTTCCGCTCCTTCAGCAGGTTCTTGGTCTCCCGCCTTCTACTGGTCCTCCTCCTCCCTTAGAGTGTCCACAGCCTCTCCCGTCACAGTTACAGTTACAGCCAGCCTCCCCACTGCCCGCTCCTTCTCCCTTGTTGAGCGTCGTGAGCCTGCGTCTCGCCCTGCGTCGCCTGTCCGTCCTGCTCGCACTAGTGGTCGTGGTTCGCATCAGCGTCCTCCTCCTGTCCTTGGCACGCACCGGATGTCTCTACGTCCGTCCACTGCTCCTCTGCGTGCCCCTTTGCCTTCTCCTCTTGAGTCCTCGCTTCCTACTCTTGCCGACCCGGAGTCGGACTCTCTTCGTGCTGCCAGTCCTACTGTCACGCGTCTCCTTGCTATTGTCGTCACTGACCCTTCCTTTGAGTCCACTGCTGCGTCTGCCCTAGTTGCTGAGCTCGTCGACTTCGCTGCTCGCTGTCGTCTAGACTACGCTGCTAGTCTTGTCGCTGAGTCTGAGTCTGTCTGTCCTCCGTCCGTCGGGGGTGAGTGTGCCCTTGGCACGGACGTCCTTGAGGACAGGAAGGAGGAGTTCCAGTGTTTGGCTGCTGCTTCACCTCATCTCGTGTCCGTACTGCTTACCCTTGAGGGAGACCCGGATGCACTTAGACATCCCGACTCCGCGCTCTTACGCGGAGGCGATAGAGGGTCCCTACTCCTCTCAGTGGCAGGCAGCTATGGACACAGAGATGGCTTCCTAGAAGTCCACAGGCACTCACGTTGACGAGGTTCCCCCGCCTGGGGCGAACATCGTCAGTGGCATGTGGATTTTCAGGGTGAAGCGGCCGCCGGGTTCTCCGCCTGTCTTCAAGGCGCGTTACGTGGCTCGTGGCTTTAGTCAGCGGCAAGGAGTTGACTACTTTCAGACCTTCTCTCCCACCCCGAAGATGACCACTCTTCGGGTACTGCTGCACATAGCTGCTCACCGCGACTACGAGCTGCACTCTCTTGACTTCAGCACAGCTTTCTTGCAGGGCAGCCTGCACGAGGAGATCTGGCTGCGTCGCCCACCTGACTTCACTGGATCTTTTCCTCCTTGCACCCAGTGGAGCCTCCGGCGGCCAGTCTACGGTCTCCGCCAGGCACCGCGTGAGTGGCACGACACACTGAGGACTACACTTGCGGCTCTTGGGTTTGCTCCCTCTACTGCCGACCCGTCGCTGTTTCTGCGCACCGACACTTCTTTGCCGCCTTTCTACATCATCGTGTACGTCGACAACTTGGTCTTTGCCACAGCTGACACTGCTGGACTCGCCCACGTGAAGTCCGAACTGCAGAAGAGACACACGTGCACAGACCTGGGTGAAGTGCGCAACTACCGTGGCTTGCAGATCACCCGGGACAGAGCACGCCGCACCATTACCCTGACTCAGTCACACATGGTGTAGCAGTGTAGAATTCCACTACTAAAGCAGCTTGATAGAGCTCAGAAGCACGATTCCAACGCACCAAAGAGTGCAGGAAACGGTCCACTATAGCCAGAGATACACACAAACATAGCAGTGATTATGACTTGGTTGATTTCTGGTTTGTGGTCTTTGGTTTTATACTAGGACGCAATACAAAATAAAAGCACCCAAGATAGTGTCGACCCGGGTCGCACGTTGAATTTCGTGGACGCGAAATTTGGAGCCTTGAATTTCCGCGACAAGAATTCCGTCGACCACCGACTGTAACTCCCGTGCGAATTCTGTTGACTTCGACACTTCGCTGCCGAGTTTCAAACCGAACGCGACCCGAGATCGATTTCGCCAAACTGTCCCCAATCTGTCCCCAAACTGTCCCCAATCTGTCCTGACAAGACACTTTCGGGACACTTGAATCGAAAGGTCTCCAGTTTGAAACTCATGTGCACCATAACCAGCGCCTTAGGAGAAACTGTCCTGAATCTGTCCTGAGACACTTTCAGGACAGATTTGAAGGTCATGAGTACGAATCCCAGCGCAGACATTTTGTTGCTCATGGCAGCATTTCCTTCTAACAAGCAGGTCCTTCAACGCTTCGGCTTCACGTACTCCTCGCCTCAGGCCACTCCTCTGCCTACTCGCCACTCGCTCTCAGCTCTGCCTTCGGATGAGTCCGTAGAGTCGAGTGGCCCGTACCCAGAGCTTCTTGGCTGCCTCATGTACCTGATGACCTGCACACGACCTGACCTTGCATACCCTCTTAGCATTCTCGCACGCTATGTTGCTCCTGGGAGACACAGACCGGAGCACATGGCTCCAGCGAAGAGGGTGTTGCGCTACTTGTGCAGTACGTCGGGCATGGGGCTTGTGCTTGGAGGGCGGAGTCCAGTGGTCCTCACTGGGCACGCAGACGCTTCTTGGGCTGACGACCAGGCTACGCAGCGGTCGTCACAGGGTTACACCTTCAGCCTTGGTTCCGGCTCTGTTTCGTGGCGGGCTACCCGCTCGTCTTCTGTTCTTGGCTCCAATTGTGAGGCTGAGATCTACGCCGGGGCCATGGCTGCACAGGAGCTTCGCTGGCTCACCTACCTGCTGACTGACCTCGGAGAGCCGCCTCGTTCTCCTCCAGTGCTGTACGTAGACAACAAGGCCATGCTGGCCTTGTGTCGAGAGCAGAGACTGGAGCACAGAACGAAGCACATTGCTCTCCGCTACTTCCTTGCTCGTGAGCTACAGCAGCGTGGTCAGCTGCGCCTTGCGTACGTGGCCTCTGAGGCCAACACTGCTGATATCTTCACCAAGGCGCTTGCGCCTTGTGATCATCAGCGCTTCTGTACTCAGCTGGGTCTTGTGCCTACCTTGCCTCACTTGCTCACCCCTTGACCTTGTTTGTACTGTTGCATATATATATACACCTGCTCTTGCTTGTCTAGCCTTATATATGTATGTAATCCTGCATGTGAACTGGCCTTGTGGCCTTGAACTTGTGCTCGGAATGTGTGGTGACTTTGTGATCCACCCTGAGCTTTCTTTGCTTTGCTTGACTGGTCTTGTGACCCCTTGTTCTCCCCCACTTTGCCTATGGGGGTGTGTCAGATTTATATGACATAGTTACTGTAGGCTATAGTGGGGTAGCACATATGGGGTACAGCTTTCTAGGGTTTGTACTTGTACCCAACTTTCCCTTAGTGATTTCATTCTCGTTCAGTTTCTCAGTCGCAGCTCAATTACCCGCGCTTTTTTCCCAAACCTGTCGCAAACCGCTGCATCGCACCCCTGTGCTTCAACCCTCCCATGTGCAGCTCACTATCGACGCAAAGGTCGCTCTTCACACTCTCCATCACAGGCGTGCCAGACAACCCAGCGCCGGTCTTCTCCAACGCCACCTACTACACCAGCGCAGGCCAGCTCGTGGTGGAATTCGCGTGCGTGCCCGAGGCCACTGGCACGCAAGGCACCTATCTCTGCAGCAGGAAACAGATGTTGAATCTCTCCGACATGAACACGCCAGGCAACACGTTCAAGGCGGTGGTGGATGCGGGGCTTTTCTCCAATCCCAAGGGCTTCTATGCGGCTATCAATGTGAATGGAGCAGAACTGCGCGGGGAAATTATAACCACGATTAGTAGCCTTTTGTAAGGAGGTTTTCTAGCTAGGTTAGCTCGCTGCCCACGTCATTCATTGTATTGTTAGTCCAACCATGCCATAGTTGCTTCTGGGTCGAAGCATTGATCTAATCATAAGATCAACATTCTGCAGAGGCTTGCCCACCCAACTTCCACCCATGGAGGGATGCAAAGGAAACTCGTCCCGCTGCCCATGTGAGGCGGACTCGTGCTCGAAGCTGGTTAGGGAGCTGCTTTGAGTGCTGTTGGTCAGTGTGCTATCGTCGGACAGGCAGGGCACACGAGCAACGGTGGCGCAGAGCAGCGTCGATAGACAATGGTGGATGGAGGCAGTGAGTGAGGTGAGGTGCCTTTGGGTTAACTCAACTGTCACCTGATAGGCCACTGAACTGACTCATGGGGGCAGTGATGCATTGCCGAAAGCCATGGCGGAGAGCTCACAGGCAGGTGGCAGTGAGAGTGGTGAGCGCATGTGTGGATGTTTTTACAGCGGATGGGCTTATAGAGGGTGCAGAATGATGGCCGGGAAAATCAATACGATAGCATACATTAGCAGCATTTAAGTGCTTACAATCACATTCTCAAAACATGGGCCAGGCCCAGTCAATCACAGGTTAGCAACAGTGGGGGTGATTTCTCCGCGCAGTTCCGCGCCGTTCACTTTGATCGCCGCGTAGAATCCCTTGGGGTTGTCGAACAGCCCTGCATCGATGAGCGTCTTGGCCTTGGCCACTGGCTTGTATGGCACGGGGATTTTCACGACTGCCCCCACAGCGCAGAAGTAGGTACCTGCTGCACTGGTGGCCTTGGGAATGCAATCAAAGTCCAGCACGAGTTTGCCCGCGGTGGTGTCGTAGCCCGGTTTGGAGAAGACCGGCGCTGGCTTGTTTGGTACTGTTGTGACGTAGAAGCCGAAGAGTGGTTTTTGCTCTGATGCCGTGCTGCGAATGGGAGGGTGAGTCACAGGGGTGGCGCACAGGGGTAAGACGCAGGGGGTGAGACGCAGGGGGTGAGACGCAGGGGGTGAGACGCAGGGGGTGAGACGCAGGGGGTGAGACGCAGGGGGTGAGACGCAGGGGGTGAGACGCAGGGGGTGAGACGCAGGGGGTGAGACCAGGGGGTGAGACGCAGGGGGTGAGACGCAGGGAAGAGATGCGGGGGAGAGATGCAAGGGTTTGTGACAGCTTTGGGACAGAATGGGTGCAAACGATTCGTGTCACACACCTTCAGTCCACGAGCTGCAGTGGGTACCGCCGGTAATAGAGCGTTGGGAGGCGGAGACTGTGTAGGAACGGAAGTGAGCCTCAACAGCTAACATCAAGGTACACAAGGTACACTCACATGTTAACATCAATGTTGAACTTGGCGTTTGGGCTAGCCCCGCGGTTGAGCACTGAGGTAGCTCGATCTGCAGGTAGCACAAGTGGAAACAGTCAACTTATGGGAGCATTTGTGTTTACACTCTGAGGCAGCAGGAACGTTGAAAGCAGGAGGGGAGCAGGCGGAGGAGAGGTATATTGGTAGATTTGAGTGCAGTGACACATGTGCTTATATGTGCATGTGCACGGGCTTACATCTTATGGGAGCATTTGTGTTTACAGTGCTGCTGCTCGTCCCTCCGCTACTTGTATCGCCGCTGCTCCCGGTGCTTCCCCCACTCGTGCTCCCTCCGCTGCTCCCAGTGCTGTTCCCACTCGCGCTCCCTCTGCTGCTCCCAGTGCTGTTCCCGCTAGCGCTCCCTCCGCTGCTCCCAGTGTTGTTCCCGCTCGCGCTGCCTCCGCTGCCCGTCCCTCCGCTGCTCCCAGTGCTTCCCCCGCTCGCGCTCCCTCCGCCGCTCCCAGTGCTGCTCCCACTCTCGCTCCCGCTGGAGGTGATGGTGGTGACGGCGCCGCCAGTGCTTATAACGGAGCCATCAGGGCCGTACGTGGTGCTGTTACTCACGCTGGTGCTCGTGGTGGTGCTGGTGGTGGTCGTCGTCGTTACAGTCATGATACCGCCGCCCCCGTCCTGCAGCACGCGGCGCTTGCCGGCGGGTGTGGCGCAGTGGGAAAGTGAGAGCAGCGCTGACGCAAACGATGGGGTGGGGGAAACAGAAAATTGCAATGAGGTGAGTTGCTCCGCGGAAAGCGGGGAAGTTCACGCGGAGGGACAGCGAGGTGCGATGGCGACGGGGGATGGAAGCGCGACCTGGGTAGGCCCACGAGTGGTCGCGCATGGCGAATAAACTCAGTGTATAACTTTAAGCTAGGCGCGCGAATACATGCGCGCCGCGGATCGAGCATGAGGCGGACGCGGAGGCGACAAAGCAGAGGAGGCGAAAGTAGGAGCGGCGGACTCACCAGCGACGATGACGACGGCGAGTAGCGTCACGTTGAGCGCTGACGAGCGAGAGTGTGATGTCGTCTGGGCCATGGCTGGAGACGCAAGTCCAACTCTCTGGAATACCGCCATTGGGTGGAGGATGGAAGGCAGTCGCAACCCTAGTGATGGAGCTAAAAGGAGCAAAAGGCGGGTAGCTAGCTGTTGGGACTGCGCACCGGCGGCCGCACTAGTACTACTAGGGATGTTGGAGATAATAGCAGCAAAAGGTAACGATGGGAGCGCGAGAGTCTGTCTTATAGCGGGATGGAAGGAGAAATCGTCGGACTTCACAACTTGTGAAGCCTCTCCCTCGATTCCACATCACCGTCCGCACATTCAGGTGCTCCATCCTAGTCGTTTCCGCCACGCTACGATCCGTCGTATTCATTGCCCGCATCGTCGGATTATTCCGGCGTGCGCAAACCTGCCGACATTTAGGTGCCATTTCAGGCGGTGACATGCTCTCGTGGAAACCATTCCGCGAGTCGCGATTGAACGGGCTCAGGTGTGCTTGACTTCCGGCGTTTGCATTGATGAAATGTTTGGCGGTGATCCGGCCGCAATCGGAATGGCGGGATTTGAGCATGTGGTGTTCGATCCAGTGGCGCCCCGATGCAGGTAATGGCGTCGCCTCGCGTGCTGCATTCTTTCAGTTCAGTGTGTCGCCTGCTGTCGCGCAGATAACAAAGCTTCCCGCAGGACACGGTGGGGCGTACCTCAGGTGTGGGGTGGAACTCCCTGCCTGCCGCACCTTACTCAGGTAACCCTGCTTGCTTGGTTCGGGGTTGCGCACAGTCGTGGTGCACCTTTCCGCCCAAGCCTGGTACAGTAAATGGGGATCTGCGCTGGGAATAAGCTTTCACCACTCATCAGCCTGCTTTGCGCCGGCTTGGCACTGAGAAAACTCTAAAGGGTGCTGTATTTTGCAGTCCATCTGGGCCCTGGTGGGTTGGTTCTCACCAGGGCCCCCTCCTGGTGGAAACGGGTTTCCACCAGGGCCGCACGCGGATGCCCGGTGTGTCGCGACCCCCAGCTGGGAATCGCACGCGAGAGGGAGTCCCCCGCCCCCTCCCAGGGTCCCTAGCGAGATCCGGGCGGCGGAGCAAGCTGGCGGGGTGGCCCCGCGCCGAGCCCGGGCCACGCCAGCGCCACGCAGCGTGGTCCCAACCCCGGGACCCCCCGGGCCCAGCCCTGGCTCGCGAAACCCCTCGCGAAACCCATCGCTCTCCAATCCGAGGGCGAGGGCCGAACCCCAGCGCGCCGAGACGGATCCGGCCAATCGGAGCCGTTTCCGACTGGTCTGTCCCTCGGAGAACCCTCGCAAAGCATTTCGCATGCAAATCCGCGCGCGCGAATGGCAATTCGGGCTGGCCGACACGGATTCGGCCAATGGGAGCCGGTTTCGGAGCGACGGGCGAAGCCATCTCCGTGCTGCCCGAAATGGAGCCGGCCAATCGCCGTCGTTTACGAGCGTCGGAATGCTCGCAAGACCCTCGCGAACAATCGTTCACGGAAAGCATGCTGAGATTAAATTTACGGAGCGGAGTGTACGCCACTCGAAAGATCAAACGAAATAATCTCTCTAATGCATCGGGGAAATATTCAATTGCGAGTTTACGTGTAATATAACGGAGTGTAGTGTTAATTCGGGTGACCCGAATTGGTGTACCTGATCGTTACCTCGGACCTCGGCGGTCGCGACGAGAAAAATTCTCTCTCCGCGGGAGTTGGCAGCCCGCTCCGAACAGGGCTCGCGGATGGTGTGCAACGTGGCGGACGTTGGCTGCACAAGCGTGCATGTTGCGGAACCTCCCCGCAGGGTGAGAGGCCCGCGCAGTTTGACCGCGAGTGCCGTCTCTTGATTCCCTCTCGGCCAACTCTTAGGTTCTCGGTACGGGCACCTGGTGCTCATTTTTGTTCTCCGTCTTCACATCTTGTTTTCTTCCTGCTCATCCGTTCCACGTAGAGTTCCTCATCGCCTAGTGCTAGCAGAGACTCTGCTTGGCCGCGTTCGCGCTTGGTAGCGTCTAGCTTAGCTCTTATTTTCTGCCGCGAGCACTGTTTCGCGTACCGTCCGTCCTAGGTACACGCGAGCACTGCTTCACGTACCGTTCGTCCTAGATACACCGTACCTTTGGTCGCGCTCTTGCGGTCGTACCAGTAATGAACCGCGAAATGAAGGCGCTTAGAGCTGGGTCAAAGGAGGCCGCCTCCTGTCCGGCCATCATCTCTGTTGCGGGAGCCACGGTGGACCTCCCCCCCGAACAGTGGAAGCTGCTCGCTGAGGATAAGCATCCGTTCACGGCCCGTCTGTTCGACTTTGTCACCGGGTGAGATCCATGCGTTCCATTCCCTGACTCCAATATGGACGCGTTGTTTATGGTCGCGGTGTTTAGGCTGTTCGCGACATGTCAGCAATATTTACTAGTGGGCAGTGCAGGCCGCGGCATACCTCCGCTGTGCTTTTAGGTCGCGTTGTTTATGGTTGAGCTTTTCCCCGCCGGTTACATACGTCCCGCACAGCGTGATTGTCCGGAGGTATCTGGAGAAGGAGGTGCATGAGCACGTCCGAATCGTGACGAGCGGTGTTGTCGCGGACATAGTCGCGGGTCGCGATGAAGCGGTCCAAGCCTTTGCCGGTTTGATGGAGTGCAGCCTGGTGGTTTTCTGCATCTGGTCCGAGTGAGTGTTCATTGGGAGAGTTCACTTGTACAGGGAATGCACTCGTTTACGTGGTTTAACGTGGTTGTCAATGGCACGTTCAGGGACTTGTTCGACAAGAAGCGCTCGAACGCGAGCATGCTCATTCTGCTTCACCCCGACCACCTGTCGCTTGACGGTGACGAGACTTGGAACACGCGGTTCGTTCGCGTAGCTATTCCCACTGGTGGTGCGGAACACGTCACCGCGGCGGATGCGATTGTGGAGTGAGTACCGCGTACTGGTTTATCATCAGTACCACGTTCATTTCCGCTCCGAGGCTCATGTCGCTAACCGTGCGTTCGCGTGGATATGTATGTGCTTTTAGGCAGGTGGTTTCAGGGTCGCGTTGACGAGGATTTTGCGCGCGGCTCCATTCAGTGCACCCGCTCCCGCCAGCTTAAGGATCCCGAGCGTCTGTTGGATCTGGTACGTCTGTGTTGTGTACGTGTTCTCGATGACCGCCAATAGTTGCAGTGGTGCTAACAAACCCCATGTAATGTTTTCCAGGACGCGACGTCATTGAAGGGCTCCTGCGGCAAACTCGCTCAAAGCAAACTTCGACGTCCACTCAAAGGAAACAGTAGCAGCACGTGACGTAATTTTCTATGAACGACTCACGCTCCAGACGTACCTTGCCAACTTGCAAGAAGACGAAGACCCCACAGGTGGCCTTCATGGTGATCGAGCCTTCGCCTCAGCAGCGGACGAAGCAGACTAGGACGAGCAGAATGTGGACAACGCATCAGAAGAAGCCGGACCTCTTCCGTTCTGCTCCGTCGACGTTCCCATGGACGAAGACAACCCTCGCGAAAGTGCCAACGCCAAAACCTTCTACCACTTCGCCGACAACGGTTACGTAACACCTGCGACAGTCAACACCAACGAAGCAGAACGAGTAGGACCAAATTTCATACCTGATCCAGAAACGGGAGACGAAGCAGCTTATCCCGAGGATGTAAATCCTCCCCGCTACTCACAGAGTGGACTGCAGATCCTCGGGCTCGTCACCGCAGTCCATGGCTCTGTCGCTCCTAAAGAGCCTGCGACGGTTCAGCAGGCTCTGGGGGGGAACATAAAGAAAAATGGCGCGAAGCCATGGACAAGGAGCTAAAGGCACTGGAGGAACGCAACACGTGGAAGGTGGTTCCTATCGGTGTGGCACGGAACAAGACAGTACTCACCGGAAAATGGGTCTTCCGTGTGAAGACAAAGGCCGATGGCACCATTGACAAATTCAAAGCACGCTGGGTCGTTCGTGGCTTCGACCAAGAGCACGGCCGCGACTTCACCGGAACATTCGCTCCAGTCAGCCGACACACCTCGCTACGCATCCTTCTCGCGAATCGCCGCCATGAAGAAGAAGAAGCTAAGGCAAATCGACGTCGCCAATGCATTCCTCTACGCACCCGTCGACGCCGAGATCTTCGTCGAGCTACCACACGGCTCCAGCACGGACTCGAAACACGTCTGTCAACTACTCAAGTCACTCTACGGCATTAAGCAAGCCCCGCGACTATGGCAACAATACCTACACGCTCGCCTCATTCGCATCGGCTTCAAGCAACTACCGCACGACCAGGGCATGTACCGGCTCTCGAAGGGTACAGACTACGTCCTGCTAATCGTCTACGTAGACGACCTACTCTTTATTGGCTCAACCGAAGGTATTACAACCTAGTTCGAAGGGGAGTTACAACAATACCTCACACTCACAGTCTCACCTACCATCACACAGTACCTCGGCCTCAACATCCGAGAAGAAGAAGACGCTATCTACCTCAGCACCACGAAATACGCCGACACCATCACCAAGCGTTTCGCACTCACACCAACAGCTATCTCCACACCGTACCGCTACACGACAGTAAACAACAAGGAAGGCTCCGCTCTACTCAAGCCCGCCGGCATCCGCGACTACCAGAGAAAGCTGGGCTGCCTTCTCTTTGCAGCTGTCACCTGCCGCCCAGATCTATCCTACTCTGCAAGCCAGCTCGCCACCTACCTCAAGAGGCCTGAAGCGGAACATCTGGCGGAGCTCGACCGCGCTCTTCACTACCTTGTCAGTACCCCGACGGTCGGACTGACTTATCATAAGAACGCAACTACAACGCCTAAGCTAATCGGCTACGTCGACGCAGACCACGCAGGCGACTCCGACAACAGGCGATCACGCACCGGCTACATCTACCGTCTCGAGCCTATCGGGCCTATCTCCTGGCAATCGAGCAAGCAAGAACTAATTGCTCTATCTTCAGCTGAAGCAGAATATATTGCACTCTGCTCAGCCACCAAGGAAGGACTCTATCTTCGCGAGCTACTGGAAGAAGCGAAGTTAGCCGAATTACACA